GAACAATTATCCGACTGTTAGTGGGGGGCAGTGCCAAACCTATTCTAATTATCAGGCAGTTATGCTGGTGCAGTGTCAGTCTCTGCGATATGGAATGGCGAGTCTTGGAGAGGTTCTTGCACTTGGAGATGCGCTGAGACTTCCGATGTTTTTGCAGAGTTTGCAAAGCGCCGTGGCCCGAGCCGGTAAGGCGAGTTGGCAGAGTCCGGATAGAGCTGCTAAATGGGAGTTTCCGAAAATTAGGGTACCTTATTTTGGGGTCCTTATAATAAGGGATCCTAAAATTTAGGATACTATATTAGGGTCCCCTAGTTTTGGAAGCCCCCTTAAATCTCTACGGGACATTTCACACCACATGGCAAGGAGATGATCCACGATGGCCTTTGTCGGACCTTCTGTTGCAAACTACGTCAACCGGAAATCCGGAGATTATATTATACAACAGGTTATGTTCTAGTACATTGTAATATACAATAACATATTGTTTTACTACCTTGTATTATACAAACTGCATTAACTTGAAATTTAGACTGCCATATTAGATGATATCATGTTGCCGCTTGAAGTTTGCGACAGGCATTGCTGGAGCTTAGCTGCGAGCTGCTGACGTTGGGAGGTTCCCTCCTCGCGGCCCCTGGGCTGAGATGTCTGGACAGAGTCGGAGGTGAAGCCTTCAAGAGCAGGGTGGACCTTAGTAAGTAGAATAGGTCTTCGGTGGTCTATCATAGACACATGTTACTACGGAGCCCTATAATGAATAACCTCGGAAAGTATATAGATTTCTATGTTGCATGGTTTTTGGCGGGACTGCTTGACGTTGTTGTTGCTTTGGGCTTGTAGTCGTTTGTTTCCCCATGGCAACTTGCAATCTGACTCTATCCGCGACGAAGCGAGAGCTGCGAGCAGACACCGGCCAATGTGAGTACAGCGGACTTGGCAGGTGTTCCAAGTGAGGCGTGGTCCCAAACTCAAACATCCTTGGGGACTCCGCCGGGGGTCCAGATGCCCATGCATGACTGAAGGTCTTGTCTTCGGATTAGTACACAAGTCGATCACCGGCACCTAGACATGACGAGCTTCATGCAGAGGTGGGAAACGTCGTCGATGGCACCGATCTCGCGGAGCTGGTGCACACTTCAAGACAGGCATCATTGATGCACCTTGCTAGCGCACACGTCGGTGCAGCACAGCTGCGGCAGGTTTAAGATCACATGCTTCTCGTGACCGAAGGCGAAACTCTTCAGCGTCGAGAGAGACGAGGCCGGCCTAGTCTCTCCGTAGTGGTACTTACAGTAATAGCGTGGTACACCGCACATGATGTCTCAGCCCTCCTTGTGCTAGTTGCAATACCGTGGTCGGGATGTTCCTGCTTCACCCGAACAAAGAATGAATAAGAGTGACTCCATATCTATAGGGCCACGTGGCTTTCAATAATTTTCGGCACTGTTGCTTGGAAACTTGCTCTGTGTAGGGTAGGAGGCATTTTGCCGCCCAGGGGCTGGTAGAGTTTGCCCATGTAGGTTGTGCTGTCGGCTGTGGGTTTCCACTGTCTTCCGTTGCTCCAATCAAGGTGGGGAATGATTACCCCACCATGCAGCAAGGTGCTCCGCGACGAGACTGAGGGCTACTTCCGGCTTCTGCAGCTGCGGAGGCGACGCTGACGCCGAAGCGGCCGAAGGCGCTGCAAGGCTCGGGGCTCGGATGGCAACAGCAGCGGAAGCCAACTCAACCACCAGGGGGGCGACGGTGCCAGTGTTACCGATGTCTGTAGTACGGTAGTAGAATTGCTGGGGTTTGACTCTTTTTTCTTGCCGTTGTTGCCGGCGCAATCAAGCTATGCTTGTCTCGCACCCTCGCAGCGGTACCAACCTACACGCTAAATGAACGTGCTTCAGACTAAAGGGAGCCTATCTGAGGTCGGGAACAAAGGCATTGCTGACCAGAGCAATCGCATTCTTCTATTCAGCCGGAAACATCTGAGAGGTTCCCAACGAGCATTCCACAGCCCACTGAAACGCTCCCGACTTTGAACACACGCATCTGTGCTGTCTCAGAGGTGTGGAACCTGTCGGCGTGCGCCCTCCCGAGAAGACGATGCCCATCAATTCTTTATACTTTAGTCCTTCTCTGCTTCGGCCCTGGTAGCCTGCCTTTCTGCAAACTCCAATGAGTCCATGCAGGAAGTTCAATTTTGGGGTTTGCTTCAGATTGAACTGGAGTTTGTCGGAAGCTTGGCATGTCCAGGTGTTCCATGTGTACATACTTGGAGCGCTCAGAGGGCTTGAAGTAAGCCTTGTTACTAGCTTTACCTGCAGTTGCCTCGCGTGGTTTCGTGCAGCATAGATGCTGCAATCGCATGTAGGCGCCGGCGAGTGCGAAACGACACGTCTGCAGACACCCGTCCTTTCCGCTTTCTGAGCTCCGTGCGACTCTCGTTGAATCCTCTGACTTCATGCCGAAGCATTTGCGTTGAGAGTGTACACAGTGCCGAGTCACATGCTGAACTTCGTCGTGCCCGAGGTTAGTATGAGTCACCTTTCGCCGTTGCGGGCAAGCGAAAACATAGTAGTAGGCACTGTCCGGCCATGAACGGCGAAGATCACGATGAAGGCATGGCCAGATATGGTCAGTCGGATGCTGGGCCCCCGACCTCACGGTGGCGGTCGCTGGAGAGGACCTTCAGTCAGGCGGCTTTGTCGCTCCAATGTCTTCACAATGTCTCTTCGTGCAGCCAACAGTGACAATGCTCCAAGGGTCGTTACAGACAGAAATGTCACACATCTCCCGCTCGCTCACAAACCTGAAACCTCTGGGCATGGAAAACCAAGACGCGTGTGCCAGGTCTTTCTACTGTGCCGGTTCAAGGCTGGGAGCCGCCGGTCTCGTGAACAGCTGCTATATGAAAGTGTGGCACCGTCTGAGGCTGTAGACTGTCGACTGTACACGTCATGCTTCACAGTGGTAGCGAGTTATACTGTTACCGATACGTCATGTTATGTTTTGATGCGGTGACAAAGCGTTTCTGTGTTATTTAGTATTGTCTGATACTGCTGCTGCAAGAGTCACCTTTGGTGCTGCTACTCTTTGTAGATCAGACTAGTCTTGCTTCAGCCACGACGACGGCTCCTAGACATACTCTTCATGTCGTACTTGCTTAGATCTCATGGCCACAGTCACTATTCTAATTTCGGTTTTGTTCGCTCCAGCGTGTTTAAGTTTCTCGTGGCGATTGCATGTGTTACGGCGGGCGCTTCAACATTTTGAAGATCACCTAGAATCTCACTTTGGATCCGAAGTACATGCAAACCTATATCGTAATGATTAAGATCAAGAGCAGAGGTCCTGAGTGAGGCAGGACGGATAGATGAGATTGCATGATAGCAAGACTCATTGCATAGCACGCAAACGAGACATGCATTCTATGATTTTGTGGACACGACCACTCATGTAGGCTGGTGAACCTCCGCTTCGTGCTTCCATCGTTTGCAGATCCGGCTGCCGAATTTGACCATTGCGGAAGTTTTCTGGCTCGCAGCACCTGCCAGTGGCACCACATCTCAGCCATGGTTCGCTGGGCCATCCAAACAAGGAACTGCATTTGTGCATTCCTACCCTACATATTTCTTTTCAATGAAGCAATCACTGAGGCGTCCGGCTACAAGGTCGCCTCATTTGGAGGCGCGGTTCCTCCCAAAAGCAATGAATCTCTCAAACCAGGAGGCGCAATTCCTCTCAGCGCCCTGCAGCTCGGGACTGCCGAGATACAGGCAGGGGCAATCATCGATGCCGTTGATGCCTGCTTAAGTCAGCGGATGGTGGCTGCAGAAACGGACGACTGGAAGTTGGTACGTCTCAACAAGGTGCCTTGGCAGTTTGTGCTCGTTCTTCGTGGCATAGCCTAGGCTTAAGGCCAGTTCGTCTCAGTACTCTAAGCACTTCGCAGGTGCGGCGAGCAGAGATCGTCATCAGGCTTGTGCGTGCAAACATCAGCCTAACAGAGTTTGGGCAGCAGTGGTCTGACGATGAAGCGGTCATCGAGGCAACGAAGATGGCTGGTAGACAAGCCGCAGAGGAGATCGCCCACAAAGAGTTCGAAGAGACCATCGATCGGACGCTCTCCGGTTCTACTCTCACGCAGGCTGCAGCACAGGACCGCAGGGCATGGAAGATCGATAGTGCCCCAAACAGTGTGGTCCACACCATGGCACTATGGGGCTCTTACCTTCTGCACAAAGAAACCTGAATTAAGATTAGTGTACCCCCCTCAGCCTCAGGTGCACGTGGAATATGGTCTTTACAGATCTCTCTCATGTCCTTCTTTTAATACGGACTCCCGGTGTCGCCGCTTTTTGGCTTCGAAAATCGAAATGCTTGAATCCCAGTAGTAACTAGTACATCATCGGACAATGCGAGGGCCTGTGAGCAAGCATCCTGGCCAGGGTGTCTCTCGAACGGAGTGGTGGTCTCTTCTGGGGGGTCTCTGCTTCTGGATGTATGCTATAAATAATTGTGACTTGTGCACCAGGATTTCGCAGCCAAGATGGAAGAGATGGCTGAGATGTGCGGGCAAGGTGAGGAAGGCCGACAGCTGGCCCATGACGAGCTTGAGGTCATGAAAAGCGGCAATATGTCTGCCATGGAGTCCATCATGGCTCATGAGCTGGCAGTTTACGTCGAGGAGCTGTGCCAGGTGCCTTGATTCGCTAATTGCTTGCCACTGCACTTGCTGCCCTGCAACAAGACACAGCTTTAAGCTAAAAAGGCTACTCTGTTCTGCTTCTTGTGTGAAGTTCCTCAATCAATCAGGTCAACGTCCTGGACACCGACTTTTTCGTGACGCGGCTTGGTGACATCTCGGACTGCAACGAGCTGATCGGCGTCTCCCTGGTCTCGAAAGCACAAAAAGCAGGTCGGAAGCTGGACTACTATGCCAAGACCGCCGTGGTCCTTCACAACAAGGAGAACGGAGTTGGACACCAGCTTGTGCACCTCCTCCACGGCCATGGGCACAGTGAGAAGACCCACAACGTCGAAAGCTTCCAAAGTTCCTTGCGCAATGCCAGCCGGGACTCTGCAGAGCATGTTCCCACAATGGCACGGCTCCGGCTTTTGGACCTGAAATACTACGAGCACGTCCATGGCTTTACAGTGGGGAAGTACTGCCAGGGAAGTATGGGGTCCGAAGCTGCCCAGCTTCCCGGCACAAGACCGTGAGAGTTTTTAGAGAGGGCTTCTTACGAGTGTAGCAGCATAATGTCAGAACACAATACATTACATGAAGTTTGCATTTTTCCCCGCGATATCCTTGTCCATTGTCGAGGTGGGTCAAGGACAGCCCGGAAATCCAGAACTACGTGGACTGCCTTTGTGTGCGGCAGCAGCCCTCGCTGCTGTGCGATGCGCAGCACCACCAAGAGCTGGAAGCCATTCGTCCGACGGTGATGAAGCGTCTCGAACATGCCAAGGCAGGTCTTGGCTTGTTGGATACATGTCGTTTAGGGTTTAGGGTTATGTGTTTGTTGTCAGCCACTTGCTTGAAGCACTGCAGAAGGCTTCTGCGCACCCGGCGGTTTTGATGCAGATCGCCGAGTCGATGAAAGCCAAGGGAATCGGCCTGGGTCCGTGCTTGGCTGGCGAGGGTTTCTCTTGCACCTTCTGCGTGGCGGGCCAGGGCTGCGTCGACTCCGGCGGGGGCTTCTAAGCTGACATTCAGGAGGATCTGTATAGCCCCGAAGCCTCTATAGGCTATAGGTTCTAAACTTCTAAACCCTATAAACCGCAGCAGCCCCAAACCCGATAAGCTAGAAAAACTCTAAAATTAAACCCTATCAGCCCTGAACCCTATAAGCCCAAAAAGCTTTAAACAAAGCCATAAGCCCTACCTATAGTCTCCATTGTGGCTCCTTTTTCTGCTTGAACCAATTATATATTAAGGAGTTGATAAGGTATCCCCAAAAAAGAATTACAATGGAGATTACAGGTAAACTTAATGACCCTAAACCGGGGGATCTGGGACTCTGGGACCCCTGGTTCGAGTGCAGCACGCAGGGGAAAAGTGGCGTTTGCTGTTAGTGACTCATGTGCATCGGGGTTTAGGGTTATATGGGGTTTAGGTTTTAGGGTTATGTGGGGTTTAGGGATTAGGGTTGAGGGTTTAGGGAGGGCAAAGGATGCACTACTTAGGTTTCTCGATGGACCACCTGGCGGCGCTGACCGCCCTGCTGAAAGGCCCCAGCAGCTGCGTCGACGGAGCCTGCGGCGTTTGCATGGGCGTGAAGCCTGGCGATCCTTTAACCTTCGGGCTTCAGTTCGGCGTGTCGGTCGCGCAGTGCAACAATGCAGCCGCAACTCGGCTGCTGATTCCCCACAATCAACCCTCAGACCCACTGATGCTGGAGCTGCTCCCTGTGTTCTAGATTCGAGACGAGCCCAATTGCAGGCGTTCTTCTCCAGTTTCCACATCTTCGCTTCGTTGAGCATGTGCATCGGCGGTGTCCTCGGGAAAATCGCGAGTGCCATTGGCTGGACTGCTTGCGCCGAGCTTGCCAACGTAGCGTACTATCCTTTCATCAACAAGATGACGATTGCATTGATGCTACCAATCTTCATTCCTCCGCCGCTGGGGGTCTCCGCCGGTCTCGAGGTGAACTTGAACCTCGGTGATTTGACACCAGCGGTGTACAAGCACTGTGGAAGCCAGGGCCATAAGGAGTTCAACTGCTTGCAGTCAATGTTCGATGCCAGGGGGCCCACGGGCGTGAAAGTCTACGTGAAAGTGCTCATTGGCGTGAAGATCCCTGTGCTGGGTGAGGCGGGTCACCCCCTTCTTCAAACATTCATGGCTTTGAAAAATTACCGTTACTGGTACAATATATACTGTTTCGATTGTTCTCGTTGTGAATGGTATGAATATTTCGACGAGTGCTGAATGGTAGCTTCGACCCACCAGGGTCAGCAGAGTGGCATCCTAGACTTCCGAGAGCACCACCGGCCAAAGACATGAGCATGCGAGCATAGCCTAAACTTGACCCGGACGTTGTCCAACCCCATACAACGCCCGAAAACGAAAAGAGAAAATGCATAGTGAAGCAAAACCAACGAACGACTCCGGGAATCTTCCTGGGATGTCCGAGTGGGATATTCTGAAAACCAGGGCTTCTGTCTACAGTTTGAGTACAGGAGTGCTGTACTCTTGGGGATCAGGGCCAAAAACGAGCAGCGGATTCGAAGAGAAGAGCGCTGAAAGAACATGTTCGCGGAGAAAGCCAGGAAGCTAGCCGCCTTCCGAATCCGCACCCTGCGGCCCCCCGGAAAAAAACGCCAACTAAACACGATCCCCGGATTTCTGAGGTGGGCAAGTGGGTCGAAATTCTGGGCTTTGAGGTCGCCGAGGAAGACAACTCCAGACAGTTGGCGATGAACAAGGCAGAGGGGTCTTGACTTTAGGTTTGGGGGTTTCGCACGGGGGCTTGGTTTCACAAGGCTTCGGGTTTGTCTTGAGGCATGCTTTCTCCCCTGGCAGACTGCAGATAATTTGTGTTTTTGTACTTCCAAAGTGCCATGCGTTTTTCTACTTTAACTATCTGTGGCCGTGTCCATAGTCCACTGCAGCCATGTTAGTCGTCTAGTTTGCGGCGGTTGCTCCCGCATCACCTGGGCTTGCTATCGCAGCAGTGGTCATGTTTGGACATGTGCAGTAAATAATAAGAACATAGTAACAATAAGAGATAGCGACAACAATACCAACAATACTGAATATAATGATCATCATAATTCTTATAGCTATTGCTACAGTGTTTCTTCTGTGGTTCGCTTGGCGCCTTTTCCTCGAATATTCTCTGTTCCCCTAAGGGGAACTGCTACAACACATGCTGCAGGTATTCTTACCTTTCTCGACTCGTACTTCCGAGATGTGCTTTGTTCAACAAGTCTTCCACCTTGCCATTGTGTGCCCTTTTGTTGTTGCTCGCGTGTACTACTACCATGTAGTTACTAGTGCGACCACCACCGCGACATACCGCGACGAGCAAAACGACCTCAGTACTGCTAGTGCTGATGCGATTGCTGATGCTGCTGCTACTGCTATTGCTGCCGCTCCTGCTCCTCCTAAGCCTACTCCTTACCCCTACACCTACTCCTGCTCCACTCCTACTGCTGCTGCTACAGCTGCCACCACTAACAGTAATCCTGCAGCGACCATCAGAGTTAGCATTACCAGTACTGGTACCAGTGCTATTCTTGCCACCACTACTACTGCTCCCGCTACTGCTACTGCTCCTACTCCTACTTCTGCTCCTGCTCCTGCTGCTCCTGCTGCTGCTATTGCTGCCGCTACTGCTACGGCTACGGCTACCGGCACTGCTGCTGCTGCTACTTCTATACACTACTGCGACCGCTGCCGCTGCCGCTGCCGCTACTGCTGCTGCTGCTGCTGCTGCTCTTGGTGCTCCTGCTGCTAATGCTACTGCTGCTACTACGACGACGACGACGACTACGACGACGACGTTTACGACTACGACGACTACGACTGCGACTACGACTACGACTACGACGACTGCTACTGCTACTACTACTACTACTACTACTACTACTGCTGCCGCTGCTACGACTAATTACTACTATTACTGACTTCTGACGACTATTGCGACTAGCGGCTCTCACTCAACATGTCGCTCAAATTGTTGTGTGCTCGTGCTTATCTATGCAACGACAATGTGTGTGATGGTTTCTATCCACAACCTGTCCGATGTCGTGAGATTGAATCTGGATTTTGCCACACATGCCCGAGGCAGGCGTCACAGTCGAGTACATCGGCAGCAACTCAGCCGGAGGCGAGCTGTGCGGCAAGACCTTCTCCAATGTGAACTGCATCCAACAAGCAGGTGACCCAGGTTACCGGGCCAACACCGCGGACAACCACAATGGCGACAGGTTCCATGTTTACAGGAATCCAAATGACCCGAATGACCCCAGAGCCTTGTGTGTGAGGCGAGTGGATCATTGGAACGGAGGTTGGGGTATGAAGCTCGAAATTGCTTGTAAAGTAGACAACAACCAGAACGGAGGAGGAGGAATCTTGATTCCATTCGGGAGCACTCACCACCACCAGAAGTGCGTGATGCCTTCGCAGCCCGTTCACTGCAATTGGTGGGCAGGAGAGCGAGGGCACCGTCTCGGTTTTGACCAGCATGATGCCGGATTCTCGCTATGGCATGAGGGTGGTCGCGTTTGTGCACACCTCAACCACCGCAGGCGCAGAAGGCGAAGAAATGGGGGCCGACGACGAAACCGACGTCGAAACAACAACGGCTGGGACATGAACCTTGTAGTGGAATGCGATGCCACCGGTGGCGAGGTTGACTACGTAGTCCAAACCGTGGACTTTGGCAAATCCGCTACGAACATGAAGTGCGTTCTACCAACACACAGTATGGAGTGCGAGCACGATGCCGGCAACGCCTTCAAGAGAGCAAATGATCACCAAAACGGAGACACCTTCTCAATCTGGACTTCTCACACGACTCACCTGTGTGTGCGACGGACGGATAGTGGAGGTGGCTGGGGCATGGACTTGAGAGTTCAGTGCAAGCAGCGCCAGCAGCTTTGGGGCAAGGCTGTGGTGAGCATTGGCTCCAGCACTACTCAGGAGAAGTGCGTCTTAGAGCCACAACGACACTTGTATTGCGACTACCTTGCCGCCAATAAGGAGTACCGCAACAGCGCTAAAGACAAGCCGGACAGCTTCCACGTTGAGCAGAGGGACGGGCATGTTTGTGCTCGCCGCACGGACCACACCGACCGGCGCCGCCACTTCCGCCGGCGGCGACGGAACCGTCGCCGCAACGAAGGATGGGGAGTGAACTTGGAGATGGAATGCAAAGTTGACATAGGGCCCTTCCTGGCTGTGGACATTGGGCCATCCATGGCACCGTCCGGCTACAAGTGTGTTTTGACTACTCACCAGGTGCACTGTGATGCAGATGCAGGCAACGTCAATAAACGTCTCAACGAGGAGCGAAATGGTGACACCTTTGTCGTCTGGCAGTCGCATACACAACACATATGTGCAAGGCGCACAGATGTCATGCCAGGGGGCTGGGGCATGCACTTGCGGCTCCAGTGCGACAAGCAGGTTTGGAGTCAGAAAACACATGCAAGCTGTGTGCGAAGTGCAAAGTAAGTCGCTAACAGTCGTGCATCCCGGTTATGTAGGTTTGCTGGAAATCCCCAATAGATAGGCATGTTGTGTTTGATCGTTGTTTCTTGTGCCCTTCAGGCAAAACACGAATGGAGGCCGGTGCGGGTGGTCCTTGGCTCCAGCATGAAGAATGAGAAGTGCTTCCGAGAGCCCAACAACAAGGTCTTCTGTGACACTTTGGTCGGGGATCCGGAGCACCGGCTTAACAACAACATCCACATGAACTTCATATTCGACATCCAGCACCGCGGCAACAACATATGTGTGCGTCGTACCGACAATGTTCATCATGGCTGGGGTTTCCAGCTTGAAGTCATGTGCAAGCAGTTTCCTTATGCTATCAGGGCGGCTCCCGCAACTTGGGCCGATTTCTGCACTTTTTGTTGTTTTTCCCGACACCTCTTCGAGTTTCGGGGTTCGAGGGGTGTCTCACGGAGGGTCCTTCTAAACTGTCTTTCGCCAGACAGCGGGTTCAAGGTATCAATGGCGGAAGCCATGTCTTTTATGGTTAGAAGGGCTTTAGAGATTCGCGTTTGGGGCTGGGGCTGGGGTTTGTTTAGGGTAAGGTTAGAGGGACGTTAGGGTTTAGGGTATGGTTTGGAACAATGCTGTGATGCATTTCTGCAGGGTCTCTTGTTCATCATCACCCTGAAGGCCTTTACTCCTCGTAGGATGTAACCTTGCAAGTTTAGCGATTTAAGCCTTATATTTCTGATAGGGTTGAATACCGATTATTTCTGGTAGACTGTCGCCCTTGTCTGTGTTTGAGGATTCAAGTAGGATTTGACGCCTATTCCTCAATATAACGTTTGCGCCTGTTTGATTTCTTCTCCCTATTCCTTGCAGTATGTAGGCAGCACTTGGACATTATCTCTGCAGTTATTGTTGATAGGATTGAGCCTTCATGGCTTGTTGACCGATGCTGCTCAAAGCTTTCATCTTGGGTTCTGTCTTGTTTGGTGCAGGTTCGAGCTGGAAATCCACGAACCCGGCTGCACCCCTCCCCCCCTTTTCGAGCCGAAAAGGGTGGTGTTTGTGCCCAGGATTTATCCCTTGTCTTTTCGGAGATCAGGGTTAAAGTCTCGTGATTCCGTTTGGCCGGGATTTAACGCGTATTTCTGCGGTTCCACGGGACCCCCAAAACAAGGAATGCAGAGGTCACCAGTTGGAAACGGGGGCAGAGTTCGATGATCTACACGTAGCTGTAGCAAGCGCGAGAGTCGGATCACCCTGTTAATCGTTGCCAGGCTCAGGATTGAATTGTGCTCGGAATGAGGTTCCAACTCGATTAACAGACTGAGGCTTACTCAGGGTCAAAACTTAGCCTCATAGCCTGGATGAGAGGTAAATGCGGAGGTTTAAGGAGTAAAATGCAGCCAGACTGGGATTAAATGCCCGCAGAACAAGGCTTAAACGCAAGCAAAAGAAGGGTCAAATGCTTGCTGAATAGGGTTGAGGGTTTGTACGGCTTTAGGTTTAAGAGTTTGGGAGTATGGTCAGACACGAAAAGCCGTGATGCAAGGATCTGGCTAGTCCCCAAGCCCAGTTGCAAAAAGCGACTTTGGGGGCTTAGGTTTGGGGTCTCGGGTATATATCAGAGGGACTTCGGGTTAAGGGTTTAGAGATTTATAGGGTGTGGTTAGAGGCTTGGGGCATGGCTAAAGGGACTAAACCCTAAACGCTACATGGCTAATGGGACTTTAGGGCTTAGGATGTATAGGCTTTAGTAGAGTATGGTGAGCGGGACTGTAGGATCTCGGGCTTGGGGACTTGGAGAATGGTTGAGTGACTTCAAGGTCAGACGGTTTAGGGTTTAGGGTTTAGGGTAAGGTCTAGGATTTAGAGCTATAGAATTGCGGCGTCCAGTGGAAAAGAGGGTTAGACTGAGGCACAGCCGGTGGGGCTCCAACCTGCTGGCATGTCGGCCATGGTGGCGTGGTACAAGAGCGAGGACGCGAATCCATTTTGGAGAAGTTCCGTTGGCAACTGGGAGGGTCGTGTGACCAAGGGCAGTGTCACCAGAAAGTACGAAGCTGGTCATGGGGCCACAGGTGCCGTGGCATACATTCTTGGCAATTCTGGTGATGGCTTCAACTTCTTCCAAGTCCTGACACCAGACTTCACCATTTGCTCGGTTACCCGCTATGCCGGACCCACCCAGAAGCGCATCCTCCAGAACAACAAGCCCAACTTTCTTCATGGCCATTGGTTCGGAAAAGTTGGAACGGCCTTCTACAGCACATGGGTTAGCCAGGGGGAGGTGGTTGCCGCAGAGCAGCGCCAGGATTGGCTCGTGATGTGCGGCAACAGCAACGGAGTCGTCTACATTGGCCGGGAGAAGAAGAACGTCGGCCAGCACGCGGCCGTGAAGACCAGTGGGAACGTGGACCTGTACGTCAACGAGGGCCTCCAGGAATTCTCCGACTTTGGTGTCATGGAGGTCATCACTTGGAATCGGCCACTCAACGACGACGAGATGTGGACCAGCATGGAGTACCTGAACTGGAAGCTTGAGGCAAAACCACATACACGAAGCTGTAGTACACTTGCAATGATCGGGGTTGTTGGTTTGGCCAAGAAGCTTGAGGCAGTAGTTCCCGTCTCTTCGAGGTTCTGAAGATTTCAGAAGAGGTGTTGGGCAGAAGCATCGAAAAGCCCTGAACCCTTCGTCCGGCTAGTCCGAGTTGTGAGAGCGTATACCCTAAACTCAACCGGCGAGGTGAGGGCTTCATACGGATAGGCTAAGCCTTCGCTTGAACTCGCATCTAAGCCTGAATAATATAGGGACCGAATAATATTTGCCAATGCTGGTTTTGCGCTCCTTATTATAATTCTTTGTAGTAGAATATGAATTACAACAAAACCCAATACTGATGATTAGGACACTGCTGTGCGGTAGCCAAAAATACCTGTAGCCTCCATTGTAGCTCTTTTTTGGGGATACCTTATAAACTCCTTAATGTGTAATTGGTTAGACCAGAAAAAGGAACTACAATGGAGACTATAAACCCTAAACCCTAAACCTTATAGGTACTGATGATTAAAGGCCCTGTACTAGCCAGGCCAGACCTGCTGACGTGTCGTCCATGGTGGCTTGGTTCAAGAGTGAGGATGCGAATCCAGTTTGGCGAAGTGCCGTTGGCAATGTCTATGGTGAGGTGATCAAGGGTGGTGTCGCTAGAAAAGTCGAAGCAGGAAACGGTGCCAAAGAGCCAGTGGCTTTTCTCAAGGGCGACACTGCTGCCGGCTTCGATTTCGGCCGGATCATGAAGAAAGACTTCACCATTTGCTCGGTTACCCGCTATACCGGAGGTGCCATGCAACGCATTCTCCAACACCACTCGCATAACTTTCTTCATGGCCACTGGGCAGAAAGGGTTGGAGTGGCCTATTACGGCGGGTGGGTCGTCGAGGCGGGTGTAAGCAGCAAGACCGACTGGCTCGTGATGTGCGGCAACAGCGAAGGAGTCGTTTACAGGGGCAAGGAGAACAGGAACATTGGACACAACGGGGAGGTGAAGACCAATCCAGATGTCCACTTGTACATCAACAAGGGGTTTGACGCCGAAGTCTCCGATTTCGCTGTCATGGAGGTCATCGTTTGGAATCGGGCTCTTTCCGGTGACGAGATGTGGAGCACCATGTTGTACCTGAACTCAAAGCTCGAGCACGGCTCGCAGTGAAGCCTCAGAGTATCCACTCGCCTGCTGCTGAGGATGTACATAATCAGAGCTTTGCAGTCAGGAGCAACATCTGTTGCGAGCATGCGTGGGTAGGGATGCCCTCGTATGCGGAGTGTCTTGAGCTTGAACCGGAGAGTCATTCTCAGCCTCATGCCGAGCTAATGCCCGTAGGTGCTGTTGAGACTCATTTGTCAACTCAGACTGCGTCGCTGTCAATCTTCAGGCAGTCCCTGACCGTGACCAGCGAGTCGATGTCGAAGCTGCTGTTTCTTGGACGAGTTCGCGCCCGCTTCCCGGATCTGCCAAATCAATGTATGTGTCCAACGGAAAAGCATGTGCATCCCGAAGCACGGATTGTGCTTGTAGCTCGAGCCCCAAGACTCAAGACCGGAACAAAGGCTTAGCTCTATCTATCCTTAACACCAGCTAACCCTCGCGCCATTGTTGCGACCTTAAATACTGGACTCGAAAATCGATAAGCTTCGAAAGGCTTCACGAAAGTTCACAGGAAGCAACCGCCATAGGAAACTTTAAACGCGCTGAGTACAAGCAAGATGGTCAGGAGGTACCAGGCGAAAGAGAATTAGGGGCTACCTTATTTAGGGGTCCTTATAATAAGGATCCTACAATTTAGGGTACTATATTAGGGTCCCCTATTTTCGGAAACTCCCATGAGGCAAACCAGCGTCGTACTGGTAGACAAAGTGCTAATTAGCAGTGATCCCCATCTAGCTAATCTCGGCAGCAGTCGCCGTCGTCGTCATCGTCGTGGCCGTGTGATACTTGAGCAATCATACCTATCCTGATGATGCATGTCACTCTCACCTCGTCAGGGAAGCAATAGTTGATTAGTATGGTTGCCTGATGGCCTTCGTGTTTGTCACTGCAAGCCGAGTTTGATTCACCATATCGGGGCAGTGTTGAGTCATCTACGTACAGGATGTCAGGGTTTGGGTTCTGGGGGGGTGCTTGGTTTTTGAGCTCATTTCTTAGCAGCACCAAGGGCATGTAGCACGCTGTCGTTCCTGGAAACCGAAGCAAGGAGGTTGAGGAGACCTCTTGCTTGCTTCCCGAAGTCTAGTTTTCTTCAGAAGCTGCTTGGGGGCTTAGGGCTGCAGGATGGGGGTCGCCATATCCCATGCATTCACGCGCAGCACGTCTCCGCTCAAGAGACGGGGTCGAGCAACCTCAATAAGAAGGAGCCTCCTTCCACCTATGGCGGCACCTCACACGCAAAGTCAGATGGCTTTGAGGTTCGAGCAGAATACGGTGTGTCTGTGGGCTGCCGATAAATAAAACAAACTGAGGGAAAGCATGGTGAAAGTGAAAGAAGTGCGTTCCAAGTTCATCCGTCTCCTTTACGGGTCTTTCAGTTCCTGACGACCTGGTGAGGAGCATGTGGGATGTGCTGTGTTGGGTTTGGGGGCCTACTAATACTGTAAGGCATCCAAATGGGATGCAAGAGCCACCATGATAGGGATTCCGGAAAGCTTTGGCTGACAGATTTGTTGCGTTTGCGTGCGTCAGTTTACGTGTGTTTTCGGGTGTGTACTCGCTGCGGGTGTAGGAACACATCGCCCTTCAAGCATTCATGCCTCAAAGTGGTGCTTATGCCCAAAACATACTTCGTGTCTGGGCTTGGAAAGAAAGCACGTGGGAATACAGAATGAATAAACCAAGAAATAAACACATGAGCCATATATGATGCAATACTGGCCCTGGCCCCTGGATCCAACGCACCGCATGGCATCCCCCCAAGTGGGGGTCTGCTTGTTTGGCCTTGTCGCCTCATCCCCTGCGGGGTGGTCTTATTTGTTGGCCCCACCCTGCCTTTTTGCTTGGTGCCTGCGGTCTTGCTTGGGTTGTCGGCTTCTTGGTCTCTCCCATCCTCCCATGCTGAGCGATGCTGCTGCGAGCAGTTGGCAGAAGGAAGTTCTATGATGTATGCACGCGCATACTGAAATATAATGCATATATGTATATAGAGGTATATATACAGTGTATGTATACACATGAACTTTTGTATTTATACGACTTAGCTTATCTTATATATACTTATGCACCCATCCATGTATACATGCATACATACATACTTACATACGGATGTTATTGTATTTATCCTTATTATGAGTGTTACAAAGGATTACTGGTAACCTGGTAGTGTTGTTGTCACTTGCACGATATGTAACGAGATAAACTATATACCTGGCCGTTACCATGTACATACGCATATTTGTGCCACCTCAGAAGCTTCTCTGACCTCCCAAACCCTCGCCTGCTTATCGAGTGCGAGTGCTACAAATATGCACAAATACACGTTTACATACATACACACATACATACATACATACGTACATACATACATACATTCATACATACATACATACATACATGCCTTGTGCCCGGCCTGTGCGCAAGCTGCAGTGAACACACCATCACCGCGACTTGAGCATGTGAGTTGGATTCGGTGGATTACCTTGTCTTTGAGGGTCGTAATTATCAGTGGCCTGTGACAGCCAAGAGCCAAGACTAGGACTAAGAAATAAAGACTGATGATCCCTCGTCGGAGCGGGTCGATCCTCCCTTCGATCCCTCGCTGCTTAGCGGAAGATAGAGGAGCTTCACCATGAGTTGTGAAGAATCACGGGAGCAATCCGCAGAAACACAGCAGCCTTGCTACTGCTCCTAACCACTAGATCTACAGGCTCCAGTGTTGTTGCTTTGTAAAGAAATCGACGCACGGTCTCACGTTCCTGTTTATCAGATGGAAGGTTGCTAATGGATACGACCTTAGTGCCGTGCCGTTTTTGTGGCTCAAGCCCTCTATTTCGTTTGCTCATGAAAGTAGGAAAAAGTTTCATGTCTTGATGATGAAGAATGAGCTCTAGTACTTTCGAAGAGCTTTGCTGTTCGTGCTGAGTGACAAACGAGCCTTAGCAGAAAATGGCTCCGTTTGCGAACATTGAGACATATGAAAGCTCTGCTGATGCTCGTCGTGAAGTGTCTGCGCATGCACTGCTCAATACGAATGAATCGCCTGTTTTGTCCAATGTGAACAACGCTCAAATCTTGAGCACAACCCGCCAGCTTTCAAAAACATAGTTATCTTATGTTGCCTGAAGAGTGTACAGTGCTTTCTTCTTCAGAAAACGAGAGCCTTTCAGTTTCTAAATACTCTTTTCTCCCAGCCGTAAGGCAACGGTCAAAACTTGAAAACTCATTTGCTGGCTTGGGGTCTCGGACTTTGGATGCCAACCCTTGGACACTTCCGGGTTCGAGATCCAGACGGCACCCTGCATGATCGTCATTCCTGCAGCTGGCTCAACAACCTGCGCATCGGTAGGGATGGTGGGCATTTTCAGCTTTACGACGGCTGCCTCGATGTCACAAGGGTTTAGGTCACATGCGCGGCAGTGTCCCGAACAGACCAGTTCGTTCAGCGGCCATTGGGATGTATTGTTCCAACAACTGTAAAGCGATCCAGGAATCCAGGCAGACTTGCAAATCTGCCAAGTGCCCCAGCAGCGCAGCAGTTTGGTAGAGTCGTCCATTTGAGTTGATTTGCACCTTCGAAGCCCCAGGAGGAATTTATGCCGCACTGTGTCACAAAATGACGAAATACAGCACTTCCGACATGCTGTTAGCAACTATGAAGATTCACTCAAAGCTATCCAACACCCAAACCACATGTGCGGTGCAGAAGAGGGTACAATCTCTCAAGACACGAAGCAGAGCAAACAAAACAGTAGTGGGGCATTCGAAACTCTGCCAGGAAAGTGCTGTGTTTGGTCTGCCTTTCTTTGGTTGAGTTTTCTTAGCATTGTGAATTGCGCCTTTTGATATTGTTTTTGTCAATGGCGGCTTGCGAGCAAATCCAAATTACCTGATCAGCTCTGTCACTATCTTATCGTTGGAGCCCTCTGCAGTGGTCGCAAGAAGATGTGCAACGGTCAGAGAGATGTTTCTATCTCTCGATACGAAACAGACAGGTGGGCGCAGGGTGCCACATCTACATGTACGTCTACTTGCAGACACAAAGCAAATGACCGTTCATAGCCCCCCTAAGCCCCAAAAAAAGGCGACATCTGGGGGTACTTAAGTTGGGAAATCGAGGGTCAGAGGCCACTGGATCTGTCGGCCTGCATAGCCTTGATAGTAGTATTATGACTACTCGTAGTATTATTGTTAAGGCTATTTTCAGGACTATTATTACTGCTAATGTCGCAGCGTGCAACTTCGGCCATGAGCACGCTATCGCCACAGCCTCGTGCCGCCATAGGGGCACCGCAAGTTACAGGAACTTGGCCGTCGTTAATTGACGACGCGAGCTTTTGCACGAAGCGATGAAGTGCCGTTTGGTGAAAGAAACGATCGCCACAAAAGAAACTACAGCATTTGTTCGATTTTCTGACTTCAACTGATCTTTGAATTCTGCCTTTGCACGGTTTACCTGATGTTCACATGTGGCGAGCTTGTTGACAGTGACATCTCGAAGCTGGTTTACAGGAGTTGTCACCTCCTTTGCATCCGAATAATTAAATGGAAGAGCTGAGTCTTTATCTTAAGCATGGTAACAGAACGCAGTGCAGATTTCTAGAATCATCTTAGCCTGCCATTCCTGGAGGGTTCTTTGCGGACAAAAGCATCGAAGTTGTGTGGCGCAAAATGGCGACGACACGCCTGCCGCCATGGCTCCTTCCGAATTGTGCCGTGTGTTTTCCAAATGGGGGTTCACCGTTTGGGATTCATGCAGGCGCAGTTGTGCATGTATGTATGTATGTATGTATGTATGTATGTATGTATGTATGTATGTGTGTATGTGTGCATTTGTATATAGATACATCCTACAAGGCCCCCCGCCCGCCCATGCCTTTGTGGCACGTCCTAGCCATGCAGGGGCGCCTCACGTACGTCTCACAGAGAAACTCAGGTGGCCTGTCGCCGGACATTTCTTGTGCCAGCGGGCGCAGTCCAGCCAGCACGCTTCATGGCTTGATCAT